AGAAACGTCCACTTTTCTATTTATCCATAGGCGTCACTAGTGTTACTGATCACTGGTAATACCGATTGGTGTTACACATAAGAAAGGTAACACCAGAGACAGCAACACCACTGACATTTTTAATGAAAAATGCATTTTACAAAACAGCTGCTACAGAACATCAAACCACATGTTGTCAGTCATGGAATATCCACTAAAATATGTCATTTAATCCATTTGTATTCTATTTTTTCACAATTATATAAGAATAAAGTCGGTCACACCAGTGACTTCAACTAAAAGCTTCATATGAAATCATGAGCTAAATGAGAAAATTTCTGATAACTGAAAGACTCAGGGAACTCACCATGTGCTTTTCTTCATAGATCCTCAGAAAACAGGTAAAAGGAAGTCAAGTGATGTCACCAGTGTGATTTTTATTTCAAAATAAGAGATTTTTTGTTTTGCAGTAACACCAGTGACATGACTCCTGGGGACCACAACTTTCATTATAAATTTTATAATATTTATTTGTCATTTGTTTCCTTTATGTCATTAAATGTACATATTCCATAGTCATGTATAGATTATTGTAGTTAAAACTGCAGATTTGCTACATCTGTGTGCATTTGATTTTTCTCTGAACTACCACTTTAGGAATTTGGTGATAAACAATCTGACCCTGGGTCAGCACAAAAGGGACATCTATTCGCAGCTGGAAGAGTCCAAATACCTCAGGTGTAGCCTACAGTGTTTGACCCCCCCTCAGCTACAGTGCAAAAATGTGAAAAGTCAGAACAGTTTAGAAGAATGAAATATTAGGTGTGCACTCACTTCGGCTTTACAGTAGTCTATACTGTACTATTCCAGAGGATATCATATAGTATGAAGGCTCAGATTACATAACCTGAAGACAGCAGTCTGTTCTTTCTTTTTATGTCTTTTAAGCACATTAGCCCGCATTCCTTTGCTGTCTAACTGTGTGTTGCATGAAGGTTACACACGCACACACGTGGACACACCCAGCCAGTGTTCCTCGGCCAAAAGGGAATGTTGGTGCTGGGATTTATGGAGCTTCGTTCCCGCGCTCTGTCATGGCTGTGACCTGGCTGTCATGGTAATGATGAGCGCCACATTCCTCTCAGTGGATTTCGGCCTGTTCAGGCACATCCAACATGGCCGACAGAGAGAGAGAGAGAGCTGCGCTGCTCCACTGCCTCGGGCCGCGCACAGGAGCCCCACTTACACAACTGCAGGTAAAGTATAGGAAACTCCTGAGGTACATTCCTCCGATCCACACATATACACCACTGGAATCACCATTCAGAAGTATAGAATCACTACTTTCAATACTATAAAGCCATTTCTACATGTGCAATAAATACTACAAACCCACTTCTATATACACTGTGAACGATATAGGGCCAAATCTTTATGCACTGTAAATAGTATAAATGCACTTCTACATACACTGTGAACAACATAAAGCCAATTCTTTATATACTGTAAATAGTATAAAAGCACTTCAATATGTCATATAAGTACTATAAACTCACATCTACATGTGCTATAAATACTATAAACCCATTACTATATATTTTATAAATAATATGAACCCACTTCTGTATGTAGTATAATTACTATAAATCGTCTTTCATGTATAGTACATATACTATAAACCCACCTCTATATTTACAATAAATACTAAATTCACTTGTATAGGTACAGTAAATACTTTAAACCCACTTCTATGCGTACCTTGCATACTTTATATCTACTGTAAATACTATATATCGCTGCTGTCGGAACAAAACCTCTAATCTCCAATTTTGTCATTTTCAGTTTTTGACATAATTTGAAAATGCCCGTTGGCCTTTACATTGTGTGTAAATTGCATGATGAATGGACCAAAAGGAGCAGCACAAAATGACTTGGAGAAAAGTCTGGTTCCATTGGCTTCCATTAAAAGTAAAGTATGCTTTTTCCTTCTCCTGTAAAGTTATCATTTTGGAGATACGAGGTTTTGTTCCAAAAGAAGTGATATACCACTTCTGTATATACTACAAATTCTATAAACACACTCCTAGCTGTAAAATCACTTCTTAAAAAATTCTACTATGGTGCTAGTACATACTATCTTAAACAAAGATTTCTAAAAGGTTCTTGGCTTGAACGTATGGTTCTAAAAGACCATTAAATGAGCATAGGACCCTTACATTATGTGGAGGTTCTTAAAACTTTAAAACAGTACTTCTCATTTCAGTTACAAAAATGATTTTTTAAAAATGAATGAATAACATAATTATTAATTAAAAGCCCAAATGATTCTAAGCTTTTGAGCTGCAGTGTATATGTAATATTTCTGTGAAAAAAATGTAACTCAGTGAATTTGCATGCATTGTGTGCAAAGTCTGTGGTAAATTAACACATACATGTTGTCTATCAGCACCAGGAGTGTGAATAACATGTAATAATAAAGAATTTGTGAGAATTCAGTACATGCACAATGTCCCTTTATTTACTGGTGAACTATTCTACTCATGGGCTGACTGAATAGTAGTGGAGGGCCCAGTTTGGTCTCAGGGTTTTTCGAAGTTTTACCACAACTAACACTCAGCAATATTCACCAACACAGAGCCCAAAGCTGAGTGCCTTTGCTGGGACTGAGGGGGTTCAGCCTGTGCCCACATCATTTACCACAACCAAAAAAATGAAACCAAAACTGTCGGTCTTCATTGGACTCTCAGCGCAGCAACAACCACAATTGGCAATGTTACTGCAAGTATAGTAACCAACTAGCAACCACTAAAATGTAAACTGCAGAATGATCATATTGCCACTCATATCAATTTTTATTTGAAGTTAATAGTCAAACTTTAAATAAGTCCCAAAGAAAAAGCCAAAAGTTTCTTGAAGCATTAATCAGACCAATAGTAAAGGATCATAACACATTTCCAATGTTTTCCAAGAACAGCTAAGACAGAGCATGATGGTGACTCCATGACTGATGGAATGCAAACAGGTAGTCGCGTGCTGCAGGTGTGTGAGAAATAGCAGTGACCTTCAACCTGAACCCGCAAGCAGCATGAGGGAGAGGTCAGGCAGAAGCCATGAAATGGTGTCACAGAGTTAACGAAGTGTAAAAGCTGAGGCTACTACACCTATAAATAATCACAAATGCTTTTAAACCTCTTGACAGCAGTTAAACCATGATTGAGGTAGTGTCAGAAATAGGAGAACCTAAGAAACCAATTGAAAAACAGACAGAGGTGCCAGCGATTAGCTCTGTTTAGTTCCATGTATATAAGTGAAATATTATGGATTTATACCTCTCTGAGTGTTTTCAAATTATAATACTTTTACAAAAAATTGCTTTGCTGCTGCTCAGACTACTCACTATTGAACTTCAGCATATTATAACAATATTCCTGATTAATAATGCTTAAAAAACATAGCTGAGTAGAAAGTAGCCTCATTTTTAACTTTCAGTATTTTCTCCTTTTTCATGGTTTGCATTCTTTGCTACATACAATAGAAACGGAGGTAAAATGTACTCTGTAAGGTAGAATTTAATGTGTTTACACTGTGAAGCAGAATACAGTACAATGTTAAGGCTGTAAAGTGATATTCAGTTCAAAGTTTACTCTGTAAAGTAGGATATAGTACAAAGATTAGGCATGGGATAAGTTTACACTATAGACTACAGATTTACACTGTACACGGGAAAGCAGTTTGATTTACAGATTTACACGGGAAAGCAGTTTGCACTACAAAGTTCACACTGAAAAGCATTTATTCATTGAATTTATTAATTGTACAAACTTTATACAGCACCAAATTTAAGTTGTACAGTATGAAGTAGAATAGTGGGCAAAGTACTTTACACTGTGAAGGATACTATGTTTTACAGTGTAATGTAGAATGCACATTATAAAATATCATATTGCAAGTGGTTTATATCATGAAGTACAAAGAAATATTACATAGTACAGAATTACAAGTACAGAAATTATACTATAGAATGTGATTCAAATAGTACATAAAATTTACACTATAAAGTACAATGTAGTACAGACTTTACACTGTCAGTTAAGCTGTCGTATAAAATTACATTGTGCACTGTAAAGCAGTACCACATACACACTATAAAAACGGTACAAAGTTTAAACTGTAAAGGAGAACAAAGTTTACACTGTTAAACAGCAGAAACATTTTTAAAACAGTATAACATGTAACATGTAAACAAAAGCTGTACAGTGTATACTGTAAAAGTGTACACTGTAAAACAGTATAAAGTGCATGTTGTAAAGCAATACATTGTTTACACCGTAAATCGGCATAACATGTACATTGAAAAACAGTACAACGTGTACACTGTAAAGCAATACGAAGTGCATGCTGTAAAGCAGTATAAAGTTTACACCATAAATCAGTATAACATGTACACTGAAAATCAGTACATGTACACTGTAAAGCAGTACAAAGTGTACACTGTAAATCAGTATGATGTACAATGAAAATCAGCACAAAGCATACACTGTAAAACAGTATGACGTGTACAGTGTAAAGCAGTACAAAGCGTACACTGTAAAGCAGTACAAACACTGTAAAGCAGTACAAACACTGTAAAGCAGTGCAAAGGTTTACACTGCAAAGCACTACCAAGTTTACACTGCAAATCAGTACAAAGCATACACTGTTAAGCAGTGCAAAGGTTTGCACTGTAAAGAAGCACAAAGCGTACACTGTAAAGCAGTGTGCAGTATTCCTTCCCTGGTCTCCCTGGTTTGAATGATACGTCTGTCCTGAAAGTCTCTCCCAGGCCGCCCTGCGGGTCTGTCTAAGCCTGTAACCCCTGCAGTGAGAGAGCGAAGCTCCTCAATCAGGCGAGGTCTGCTCGGGGCTGACACTCCTCGCCCTCCCCGAGCCTCCCTGAGCCGAAGGAATGAATGGCTGGAGGGACCCCGGCCCCGCCCACCTCCCACACGCCTGAACCGGGGAGGCGCGAGCTCAGAGTTTCACGAGCAGCAGGAGAGGAGCGCGCGAGCAGAGCGACGGGGCTCGTGAGGCGAAGCTGTGGAGATTCCTGCCAGTGGATGATTTAAAGAGCGGTGAGGAACGAGCGCTTCTGCTGTCTTTACCACGACTTACTGCAGGTTACACGGTCAGACTCGCTCAGCCGAGCGATGCGCGCTTAAATCAGCTTAGACTGCACTGAGATATTGATCAGTCTAAGGTCTTTTTGTTTTTAACCAGGTCTCCTCTGCTGGGTTATAGTTTAACTCGTGCGAGATTGTGAATGATTCCCTTCAGTGCACTTCTGTCCGAATTCATTGCTGATAGTGACCCACTTTCTTACTACATTGCTCTTCATCAGACTAGTAAACTAGTGAACAAGTAGAGAGGGAGAGAGAGAGAGAGAGAGAGAGAGCGGTGTCCCTCAGCTTCAAACCTCGTGTCTCTCTGCAGCCCCAGAGCACTAGGTGAGGATGAGGATGAGGATGAGGATGCAGGCGCGCGGCAGCAGCATGCTCTTCCTCCTGGCACTGACGTCACTGCTCACCGGACCCACCCAGGGCCAAGGTAAACAACAACAAAACAACACACCCACACCCACAGCTTGTAAAACTGGTGCGCTCTTCCTCTTTGTTCGGTTGTGCATCCATTAATTAGTGAAGCTGGAGCTGTGACTTTTCCTAATTGTACCATCTGTACTTGTGTGAAAAAAAAAACATTGAGGGAAGCTGATAAACGGTGTGATAAAGCCTGACTTTTTCTGCAGAGCATTCCTGAGACTGATAATGATGTAAGACCTGTGGAAAAGACTTTTAGGTATCAGCGTTACATCAAATATCAAAACCTTGTCAGCCCATTTTTATGTTTGGGTTTGACCAGGTGGCCTTTTTGGTGGGGGGCGATACTTTGTTGTTATTGTGTTAAATATCATCACGTGCTTGTCTGATACATAAAGAGCACTGAACAGCTGCAAGTTTCACATTCTCACTAGGCCGGATGTGTCTTGTAATGAGAATGTCGGGGGCAACCACAAGAAATTATGGATTCAGTCTGGATAGGATAGTAGACTTATTAGGAAAATTGGAGGGTGATTCTTTTGTTTTTTGGATTTTTTCCCCAATTCTCTCCCCAGTCTAGTCGTATCCCATTACTACTTAGGTCTCCCCAAATCACACGATACCATCAGTGCTAGGAGGGTGAAAGCTAGCAGGCTTCCTCTGAGACATGTGAAGCATCACCACATCTTTTTGAACTGCCACTCATGCAGCGTCAGGGGACAGCCTGGAGGAAAGTGATGACCACCAGATCTGTTATGTCATCTTACAGATGCATGCATTGACTAGCATCACGCTGGGTGATGGGGGGAGCCAGGGGGCCATCCTACCCACCCAGAGAAAGTGAGGCCAGTTGTGCTCTTATGGACTCCAAAGACACAAGTGGAGCTCAAAGTAGAGGGCGATGGGGGGCTCGTCAACGTTGCTTGCCTGTCGTTAGCTCATGCATGTTATGTAAGTTATCATGGCTGAATAGTCCCTCAAAACCTTCATATATGCATGTATGTATCCATGTGTGTCCCGTGTGCAGAAAACATGGCATGCGGTAAACATAAACATGTCAAACAAGGGAAAAACAGTTCATTTACCTAACAACAGCGTTTTGCTAACTAGCTTGTTTTGCTTGTCTTATTGCACTGCGCCAGAAGTTTATAAGTCGTCCCCAGACACGTTTTGTCATTACGAGATCATGCCTGACCCTGTGAGACTGCATGTTTTATTACCAGTGTTGGGGTAGTTACTCAAAAATGTAAGCCATTACAAATGATTATTTCTCTGAAACTGTAAAGGGATGATTGTACTTGTAAGTAATCTAATTACTCATTACCTCTACATTACTCTGTAAAACCCGCACACATCTGTGTCAAATGTACGAGGGAAACTTCAGGAGTCCTTTCAGTAAGTTATTCAGAAAGAAACAGCCAGTCACAGTAAGCATCATTTAAAAGGCCGGTCACTGTCCCTGCCTTTGAACAAGACATTGATAGTTATGCAGGTCATCACAGTAAGCATCATTTAAAAGGCCGGTCACTGTCCCTGCCTTTGAACAAGACATTGATAGTTATGCAGGTCATCACAGTAACATCATTTAAAAGGCCGGTCACTGTCCCTGCCTTTGAACAAGACATTGATAGTTATGCAGGTTATCACAGTAAACATCATTTAAAAGGCCGGTCACTGTCCCTGCCTTTGAACAAGACATTGATAGTTATGCAGGTTATCACAGTAAACATCATTTAAAAGGCTGGTCACTGTCCCTGCCTTTGAACAAGACATTGATAGCTATGCTGGTTGAGATCCTAAATGACTGGTGCTGTTTGAAAGCCCATAAACTAGTCAATAGGAACACTTTCAACCTCTTAAAATCCTCTTATTACATGCTAAGGCTTATTATTTGGTAACTACAGGGACTCCAGTGCCAACCGGCTGAGCTATTCTTAGGCTATAGAAGTGTGTAATAAAACTTTGTGGGCCTGGCCATTTAAGGGGTAAAAACAACTGCCTCAGAATAAAGTCTTTATAAATAAAAGGTGAAGCTGAGAGTTGTTTGTAAATGAAAATTGAGTCAGGCCCAGGTAGGTTAGTTTGGGGCTCTGTCTTCTTCAACTCAAAGATCTTTATCAGTTTCATGTTGGAGTGATTAGATTCTTCTACAGATCATTTAACAGAGAGCTTGTGCTTGCACCACTCATATTCCTAATCAGATCCACGCAGTCTCACAAAGCACAGACACACAAGGACATTCGCTCTTATTAAGTCACTAACTGTAATGTGATTATATGAAATGAAATGTTGTTGCAAGAAAAAGTAATCGCATGACTGTAATGCGTACCTCGTTACCCCCAACACTGTTAACTACAAAGAGAGCATAACTGGATTTAGTGCATTGCAGTGCAGTGAAATGTTGAATACTAATAGATTTTGATTTTATTTATCTGTTCCAAATGATGAAACTTCAGAAAAACTAAATATCATAATGTCTTGAAGCATTGTGATATTATATGTTTGCCATACTCGAGGGATACTCGATTACTCGGTTGACTGTTCGAGATGCCAGTATACAGTTGAATACTGAAATCAGGCTTCTGCTATGTTCCATCACAGAAACACAGAGAAAATATACAGGCTAACAATTCAGTGAAACACGGTGGTTTTGCTCATATGTGCAAGTAGTATATTATGCTTTGCTACTCTAAAACATCAGTGCATGACCAAAAGTACTCTTTTAAAAAAGATGGTTCTTCAAGGGTTCTTTAGTACACAAATGGTTCTATAGAAACTCATGAACACTCAATTAACCATTTGCATGAATAAAGAGTTCTTTGCATTGTGAATTTGTTCTTCAGATTGATCGAGAATATGCTGTACGTGGTTCTACGTAGAACCTTTTTGAAAAGGGTTCTGTGTAGCACCAAAAGGGTTTCTCTGTTGTTACAATGTCAAGCCAGTTCTGTACAGTTCCGAGTACAACATATTCTCCCTCAATCTGAAGAACGCTTTCACGATGCAAAGAACCCTTTAATCATGCAAATGATTCTTTAAGTGCACGTGGTTCTTTATAGAATCATTTTGTTTACTTAAGAACCCTTGGGGAACCATATTTTTAAAGTGTGGACATCACCATAGTTGTTATGGACGTGACTGAGAAACTAACTAGGCTAACTGCACACTTTAAAAAGGTGGCTCTTCAAGGATTTTCTAGAACTATGATTTTCTTACAGAACCATTTCATGCTTAAATGGTTCTGTACATAGTGAAATTGTTCGTCAGATTGATGGCGAATGTGTTCTAAATATTCTAAACCTTTTTGAAAAGGGGTCTGTATAGCACCAAAAAGGGTTCTGATGTTTTAACAAGAGCAGAACCTTTTTCGGTGCTGTATAACACCTATTTCAAAAAGGTTCTATTTCGAATCAGATACAACAAAAATCTGAAAAACTATTTTATCATTCACAGAGCCATTTAGGCATGAGGTGGCTCTGTATAAAACCATAAAACCATTGCCTTCACTTAGAGAACCCTCTTTTTTAAGTGTATAGCTGATGTTAGCTAGAACATCATCAGAAACAGTGAAAATATATTTCTATGACAAATAACATGTCAGCACATCGTCCACTAAAGAGAAAATGCTGCGTGTAGAAAACATTGAGCCCTCATCAGCATCCAATGTGACTCCGTTACTCTGTTAGCTGTCCAGCTCATCTGAAGAGGCAGCCTCAACTACTTATCCAACAGGAAAACCCACCGATATCCCTCGACTCCTTTTGAGTAATAAAACATTCCTATAAGTGCTGCTGTTTTTGTGCAGCTCCAGTGCTGTCAACCTAAAAAGTTAAGCCTATACTACAGTGTTTACATCCAAACCAATATCCATTCGTGAGCTCTTACGGATTCTCAGATATCAAAATTAGTTGGTATGCACATCCAGAATGTGAACGATTTGTGATGAATTGGCCAACAGAAATGGTCCAAAATGACTTAAATAGAGTAAAAATATAGTATGTTTAACTAGTATACATTAAAAAGGAACATTTAACCTTCTTCTGTAAAGTCACTGTTTTATATACACACATTTTGTTTGACAGCAAGAATCGGTACAGCTTTCCCAGAATCTCCACTGCTGTTAATCAATGGTTGCACAACCAAATGACAGAGACTATGACTTTTGATTGTATAGATTCTCTCTCTGTGTCTCTCTGTCTCCTTTACTCTCTCTTTCTCAAATACACAGAGTTTAATCCACATATTGACTGTTCTTACTGTTTTTGTCTCCTTTTTTGAGGTTCTTATTGATCTCTATTGTCTCACTAAAGCTAATCCAAAGGAACCCGTGTAATAGATTCACTGTGTTGGACCTGGCCTTATCTTTGTCATTTGCCTGTTTGATTTAGTGTTCCTCAAGCATGACCTGACTTGAGGGGAAATGGAGCATGATAATACACAACTGCTTATGTATACCTGTCTACACTTTCATCACAGACGTGCACATTTAAAGCTTGCCTGTAATCACATTTGGAAGCTCAGTGAGGTTCACTCACATATAACTTCACCCTAAGTGATCGTCTACAATAGTTTCATTTGAACGCTAGCAATTATAGGTATTTCAGAGACAGCAGCTGTCCCGTTCCTGCAGTGCCCTGCCGAGGCTTCGTGCAGTGAGCTGTCTCAGCTGGAGTGTGTCCAGTGGACAGGTTACGATCTGTCTCTGACTGAGCGAAGAGCGGCAGGCATTTTCAGTCTCAAACACTCACTCCTCATTCACCTGCCATATCGGCACATGTCTACTGCTCAGCACCCATCATCTCTTTAAAGCTATACTTCACGCACAATTTCAGGAGCTGCTCATAACGAATGAAAACTCATGGCACACAGTTAACTATGAAGTGTTGAGTATTTTTAAATCTTTAAATCTGTATGATATTGCCCATTTCAGTTGGTATACAATTACCATGCTGTTTTAACATGGTAAACAGCCTTAACTAAGCAAACTGTTTAAGCTGTTAAAGTTAAGAA